GACACCATCCCGGAAGTGGGTTTCGTGCCTGTGACCACAAAAATTGCAGGCCTAATCGAGGTACTGTAGGAGCAGAACGCACTGATCTGTACTCTCCTCTGGCAAATTGTATCGGCCAAAAAGCTTGAATCGTTCAGAAGTTCAATTCACATGGGCATGCGCTGCTGCTCGAACTTGGTGATTAAAGCTGTTGTTGTACCCGTTGGGTCTTTACTACTTCTAAGCATAACTAACAAGCATTGGTGACGGACCTATGGTCTTCTCCATTTGTATGCTGAGTAATTGCCAGCCCGTGTTCTTCTGATTCCGTGTCGAATGCACTCGAAGTCAGCAAGTCATTATGGCTCACTGTGTTTCTAGTTTTCGCTAGCTTGTCCTGGTTAGCCTGGTTAGCTGGTGTCGAAGTCGTCAGATTTCGAGCATTTCCTACAACGTATTGCCTCCCACCTTCCATTGACAATGTCCACTTCCTAATTTAGCCAGGCTCTACATCCTTCAATCGATCTGATGCACTTCATCTTTTATTGACTGTTCAGCATTGTCGTGTCGCATCCCTAATATTGATTGTTCACATCTGTTATCCCGTTCGTTACTGTTTGCCGACTTGCTAATACTTTTACTGATTAAACTGATGACAGTGGAGATTCGGATGAGATGGTAAGTTATATGAGCTGGAAAATTCTGTCACGACTTCATTTTTTCTACGTGTTTGTTTGAAAGCAATCAATGGGTAGCCGACGATTCACAATCCACAACCTAACTGCTAAGTCGGGTAACTTGGTTATAACCGGTTATTCACCCTTCAAAATAACATGGGTCTTCAGGCCAGTCCTAAATTCCACATTGATTTGAAGAGTTCAAGCGTAGATGCTGAGTAAAAAGAGCCGTACAATCTTTCTGGTAATAATGAGTGGCTATCTGGCCTTTGATTTATAATTTCCATCATTTTTTTAGAAACCCTAGAAACCGTTCCACAGCGACAGGTCAATATGCCTTCGGGCTACCGTTCTTTGTTTCCCCTTCCAAAATGAGCAATTACATCTTCTCTTTCTTGCTCTTGATAACAGCCCAACATAATTCTAGCGTCTAACATGGAGCAAAAGAATCAGTAACCCTATAATTACCTAGTCTATCACAAAATGCGGTCTCTTCAAGTGTTCACGAGGATTACTTGTTAGATAAAGCAGTTTTTACCAACATACCTCCGAAAGGTCTATTGTTCGGCCAACCTGTTCGAAAATTGCGTTCACTTGAATCGCCTGAGAGCACCTTATACTGCGTGGGTGAAAGACACTTTACGTCGTAATATCCACCGTCTTCCAGGCCTGGATTACTTGCAAACCCTTTCAGTTTGGATATCACGTGTGCACAAAATCACTTACTAACGTTGATCAGCTTCAATTACATATTCATTCAAGTGAATAGATTTCAACAGTCTAATTGGGAACACTAATATTCTCGTATTCATTTTGGGCGACATTGTACCAGACGAGTATTGTACGTCCGTGCCTAATGATGAGTACAGAACAATAAAACGGTTCGTTCATTGGCGTGGGTCAGTGGTTGGCTAGTTGCTGTAGAACAGTCGCGGCCTTTGTGTCCACTTGTAGGCAGGTTCGAAGCGAGACCACTTCAGCCTTTGTATGTGCCCATTGACAAATGTTGTGCTGTTCGGCAACTCACGCTGAAGTACATATTATCCGACCGGTGTGCACACCGGAAGAGGCGACGCTACCATTTTTAACAAGAAGGAAGAACAACCAGATTGAACTGGCTCCACGAAATAATTAGATTGCTGTGAAGTGCACTGTTTTTGAAGAAAACAGTGATCATTATCCAATGCAGTTGGCTTACTCGTTGATAATTATGAGGAGTTCGGGTATACTTTGCTATTTAAATCTTTCTAGGACGATTTACTCTTCAAGAAGAAGAATGAAATGCAGACCGAAAACAGTGAGGGACATCCGAGGTTTGACGCATTCGAAGCGAAACAAGGTTGTGATAGTGGAATATGGCAAGTGTACAAGATAACTGCACATGAGAACATGTTTGATTTCTGAACGTTAACAGTAGCTCATGAAATGCACGAAATGAAGTCACTACCGAAGCTAACACTATTACTTGGCTACTTCATATTTACTCCGGACCAAACAAGAATGTGCCTTGTCTGTTGAGAAGTGACCGTGACTATCCGATGCCAGAGAAATGATGGGGCGTAAACATGGTAAATTTGCCCCAAAGTGCCAGTGACAGATCATCAATAATAAATCCTAGTGTTGTCCCATGCCAGAACATCGTCGTCATTAGGACGGAAGCGTGACAGCGGTATCCATCTCTTTATATTATTATTTATTTGCTTTTCCCTCTGTGTCGAGTTCACTCATTCAGTGGCGCCGTTGGGGAACGGGTATCTCTTTGGCTCCCATAGGTATACGCCCATATGAAAATCCAACTTCAAAGCAGCTGCCCGGAATAGCTCATGTTTGTCTAAAGTTAGCAGATACTTCGTCAAATCTGAGGTGCATTTCTCGGTCAACTGTCCATGTTTGCCGTGACACCTTAGGGTACAGTATATTAGTACCTGCGATGAAGTGAGAAATGCCGCGCAAATGTGTGCTTTTCCACAAAGATAAAGGTCGTCTACGCGGTAAAAGTCCATGGTTTCCATCTTTTAGAAGCACTGTATTTGCTTTACTGTGAAAGTCAAACAACAATTACATGAGCTTGCATTCTTTTATATGAATTAGTACAGTCATAACTGTGCACTTGAATCTCTCCTAAATTGACAGCACCCTGCTTTGTAGGATTCTGTGTCTGTACTGTTCGCTTTGGTGTGATTAAACTAACTGCAAGTAAATACAAAGTGTGCGCGATTCATTATTTTGTGAACCAGTATCTCGATTTTGAAGGGTCGAAGTGACAGAATGTTTTCTGGGGTTTGGTTTGATTTCGGAAATAGGCCCCGGAATGGTTTTCGTTCCCAGCAAGACTGACCAGATACAAAACCAGAAAATAACTGTGAAATATTAAAGTGAATGTTTTTACGCTGCGTGTGTGTGTGGGTGTTACAGACTGTCCGAAACCTCGACTTACGCCGCATGCAATCCATTGGAAATTTATGTACGCACCGATAATGCGACTTCGTAGGCAACACAGTGTTACGGTTTACCTGATTTATTGTTAGTTCGCAGCAAACTAAACTTTTCTTGTAGCATGACCACGTGTTGCATGCCAAAGGGTATTCAGTTTAGTGCTTTGTTCAAAAGCTATATATCTTTGGAGTGTGAGCGGAAAGAAGTTTAAAGTTTAATTCAGGCGCTGAATTATTTCAGCTTTTTGTCAATCCACGAAGCAATAAAGTCGCATTCGTTTGCACTGGTCAGTCACGGACTCTACCGCGATTATGAACCAGGAAGGTAAACAACTCAAATAACACCAAATGTAATCAAAAGCACTAACTCAATCTGGATATCGATCTGCTCTTAGCCATACTTTCATACAGTCTAAATTTTTGCCTGGGGCACGTCTGTGGAGTATCGAATCAGGAAAAATATGGAATGCTTGGATTCAGCTCAGGATTGTCACACGAAGTATCTGACAACCTACCCCATATAAGATGGTGTTAGCCTTGTGAACTGAACTGACCTATTCGTGATAGTTACACAGTGACAATAACAGTAAACTTGTCTTCAACTCAACTTGGATGGTATTTGGATAACCAACTATAGGAAAAGGCAACTAAGTGACCCTTGTTGCATCTATTGAGCCGCTGAGGAGAGATGTTCATCTGTGTACCCACTTTTACTGACGAGTTGGACATGCTTTTTCGTTTGGATTCTTTGGGGTCAGAATGGATGATACATTTGAACCTGTTGTTTGATAAGTTTTAACGCTTAACGCGTTAAGTAAATTTTCATCACTACTTTGCCCATTAGCTAGATTGTGAATCATGTTCTTCAGAGTCCCTCAAAAGCCCTTGCGATATGCCTCCTGAAAAAGGAGTTTTAGTGTGTCTTCAAAGGACATGATGGGCTGCTCTCCTGATAGTAAGATGACAATCGATGTCGTTTGGGGTTGAGGTGACGGGGTGACGCTGCATCAAGCGCGGGGTGGTCGTGCGCTCAAAGCGTGTGGTTCGACGTACTGTGTCCATGACAGTCAGTTGGCCATGTTCAGCCAAACGACCATCGTATAGATTTCCATGTCTTCTATGCAGGCTGACTGAAAGTTCAAGTTCAGATTAGATGTCTGCTTATGGGCTGGGAATCGGGTAAGCGCCCCTCAAGCCACCTAGCAACACAATACACCACGTAATTTTAAAGCGTTGGATTTTAGTTTTTCCGTTGCGTACAACAGAACTCCTACGATTCCCTGTGGACTTCTTAGTGTGGACTGTTATTGGTCACTGTAGACTTACAAAAAATACTAAGATGACCACCTATATAAAACCCGATCAATCTTCCCAATTCACTCCCTTCTAACGTGCAACCATTTATCTAACCACTAACTGCGCATCCGCATTCTTTTGCGCTCAGTGATGAAGTGCAGGTACTCCTATCAGATTAGTGGGCAACATATCCTTTATTAAGGTGTTTAAGAATCTGATCCTTTATTAGGGCCTAAGGAGTAACCTTAAAAACTCGAAGAACTTTGTGGAAATGGTCGTAGATGCTGGGTTATCTATCACGGACACTGCTTTGTCATGATGTGAGGATTTTTCACCTAGAACGGTTATACTGAGATGGAAGTATGGTAAGTTGTGTTTGGAGAACAGGCATTTTCCTGCCATGTTTTCGAATCCAGAGGCTCGATATCACTGAAGATGGTTTGAACAGCAAGTTTTCCACTCGGCTTTTGTTGGACTTTTCTTGTACTTCTATCTGTTCCGGATGGCCGTTTGTTATCTGCATTTGTGTTGACGAAAGTTGGCAGCGTGGAATCCGCTGAGTGGGTCTTAATAGTCTTTACACTACACACAGATTAAAATGATTCGATGGCTTTCAGACGCAAATGCGGTGACCGTCCAGTACACATGACAACAATTGTTCCAGTCTACATATCCACTGTATGTGAACAAGCTGGAGTTGTTGCTCTGTCGGTGTATCATCATTTATCATTTTTGCCGGGCTGCTGACAGGAGTGTACTGGATGCAGGCTAACCTGTAGTGGCTTGCGTCTGACTTTTCCGATACGCACGTGTCTATAAAACATAGAACAAGAACCTTCAAACGGCCATATAGTAGGTATGTAACCCGTTAATTTACAACTACACAATGAGAATAGCGTAAAGCATTGTTCGTTCCTCCCGATAAAGCCATTCCGCTCTGATCGACTGAAACGAAACCAGTGGCTTGCATTCTAGTCACGAAGAACTTACGAAAATAGTGAAATATTCACGTTTGCTGTGAACCGACTGCAAACTGAGACATATGTACGCACTTGCAAGTGAGCTTTCTTAAGCTCTCGTTCTACGTTCACGTCTGAAGAAAGATACCCATTTACCGGTGAAACTCCGGGCCAAATGAACGTAGAATCATAAACTTATGGAGCGATGGTCTACACCCTAATAAGGTAGTAGCAAAAAAGTCCTCTAGAGATGACGTTTCGGGGAGAAGTTTGATTGTTGAGAGGAAAACAACACAGACCTCAGACAGACATATTCAGCTTCACTCGCCAACGTTATGCACTCTCCCGAATAGCCAGTCTGAAAATATTGGTTCTGGAAGGTCTGGATCAGTACTCGGATGTAATCAGCACCAAATAATGAAGCAAGGATTGCTCTCCGTATTCATAACATGTACGAAACAATCTGTTATTCTGTGCAGTAGGTCCTTCATAGGAGGTTCGTTAAATCATTGATGACCAGAAACCATGAATTTCACACATACCCCTCGAGACTTGGGCTTCGATGACGGAATTGATGACAATCTGTTAATGCTGCCTCCACACCCAGGTCCCTATCTCTTTCTTTAAAACTATAACCGTTCTTGGCAGTGTATGTATCACCTTTTCTCATTCAGGTTATCACAACATTTACTGGACTGCATTGACCATACTGTCAACCAGGACAATGTTGGTTCTCAGTCAGAAGAAACGCACTTATCCATAAATCCTCTGGGCCTGGTGGGTGTAGTTTTGTCACTCACAGCAAAAGCTGCATTTGGTCACTGAAAGTCAGTCTGCTTTTCTCAGTCGCTTGTCAACATGCGACATAATATCAGTTGTCAAAAAATGAATGCTAATCACGCAGTCTCGTATTCCACTATATACCTGTCACATTTGGACGGAGTGTGGCGCCATATTTCGAGATATCTGTCCATGGCATGTTCTCAAGCCAGCCTTGCTTCTTGAGCAGAGCCCCAGCTGATTTCGGTTTAACCACTTAAGAGCATGCACCAGGAGTCCAGAGGAAACAATAATACATATTTCTAATTGTACTTTCTTAGTGAATCTTTGAGAGCGTACAGTACGGTATATCCAAATTCATTTAGGCGTGGTAAAGTGATTTGCTGTGTCCTAATATGCCAAAAATGGTCGTTGAATCGAGGAGTTCCCCAAAGCCAAAGCTAGATTTACGGCTGAGCTGGGAGTTATACACTTAGACGAGGTGACCAATTCCTGAATACCCCATGCGGAGTCCGTTCGCCTTGGTTATTATTGTGTTTCAGTGGAAACGTAAACGTTGCATATCCCGCCAAAGTCGAACAGCGTGGGATAAGTTCAGGACTTTCTCCCCACTAGCAAGATTATCAGGCTCTCCAAAGCGTTCCACAGTGGCATCGTCCATGATCTATTGCTGCCCTATATCGAGGATGGATATCAAAGGGTGCACCATCACCCCCACGAGTGCATCAGTGTAAGTTGTATTACTTGTGAGCTTTTCGCCCATAAAGTCATGGGTGAAGTCATAAATAGACGCCAACGTGACAGTTTTCTGCTAGTCCATAATTTCGTTTTCATTCAGATTTTCAGATATTTAAAGTCTATTTTTTAACTCTGGTGTCGAACACAAAGCTGTTTCAGAGTGAAAATCGCTGCGAAGAGCATGTTCACAACTTAGAACATGGAAATACATAAAATACACATTTCATTTCAGCTTTCGGAAGGATCCTCTCACATGTCAGCGTAATAATAATATATTTCGATCTTGCATCCACCGTTAGCCTTACGGTACCTGAATGATTCATCATAACTGCAATCGCTTCACGTACCAGATCTTTGCAAAGCGCCAACCTGCACAAAATAAGATCTAAAAGTTTACAGATCGTGTGAACAAACAAACAATTGTGATATCATTGCAAACGCTAGTAGGCTGATCAGAATATTGGTGGAAACCCGTCGGTACCTTACTGCCGATTGATGAGTATTGCGATCGTGAGATCGGCTATGACAGCAAAATGAATTACTCTGCAGTTCAGCCTTTATCACACAGATCATTAGAAGTTCTGTAGTCAACTAAATGGCCTTCATAACCGTATGAATGGTTAGCAGCGCACGGATACGCTTGTTCTTCTCCAATTCCTTTTGTTCCTAAATTTCCAGTGAGGACCATTATTGTTGGTGAAAAGCGGGGTGACGAGACTATAGTCCCGCTTTGCTCTCCAAAATCAGAACAAATAGATACCTGGCAGAAAGCTATACGAACATTTCTTGTTTGACAGGAATATTAGCGGAAAGGCTGTCTGCAAACGGACAGAGATTGTGACTGAGCCAGGCTCCACGAATTAGTTAATGATTGCAATAGACGTTTACAAAGTGTAGCTTCCCGTGTGTTGATCTCTTCAGACTGGATCTTGATGTACGATTTCATTTTCAGCCTTTAGCGACTTCGAACGTCTTCAATTCACCAGCGCCACCTTTCCCCTACTCGTCCTGGAATCAAAGAACCGGAGCCAACAAATCCTCAGGCTGAAACTGGTGCCTGAGAAGTGAAGCGAACTACCTTCACTACAGTACTCGTTGTTACTCAACGCCAAAAAGTGCACTTAGATCCCACCACCGCGGGTCATTATTCTCCCAATGTTCGGCTTTACCTGCGTTTGTTCAGAAAAATCTCTGAGTAATTCACGATGCAAGTACCCGAAGTAAACTCCAATCAAATGTTGGGAAGAACCTTCAATGAGTTCAGACGTTTTTGACATTATAGGCAATTCATCGTATGTTTTATATCACACTGCCCAGAGTAAATGTTTTCGGTAACCTTCTTCTTGCATTTAGTCGAATGGTCAACATAACTCCTTTAGTATCTCGCTCAAAATTTGTGCAACAAACCAGAACTCGGTCACTGTGGTTCAGTGAAGTCAAAACGAAAATGGTTGAACAGAAGGTCTCTATGTTACATTGTACCACGTCTGAAATCCATCATACGATAACACAAATAGGTTTCTAGTACAGGACACACACAAGTAAATAACGGGACAAACGACACGCAAAAAATTCATCATACCTGATTTTAGGCCTATCCAAAATAACAGTTCAATTCCTGGTCTCCTAACGCAATTTCTCCAAGACATTTTTACGGTGAACTTATTCAGACAGTGAGGCAATAAAATGGGGACAGTCTACAGCAAAAAAGAATCTATAATCTATACTTTACTTAAATCCGTGGAGCTACAAGAATCATCAACGCAAGAGAAGAGAATACGTATGCTCGATTCTGGTTAGGTAGCCTGATTCCGTGTTGGGTACACTGCACAGCTTAGATCCTTTGCTAGGGTTTCTAATGAAAATAAAATTGCGGTTTATAACGTCACAACAGGTCCTCAGTTTACCATCCCATGTAGTTAAAAACTGCATAAAACTTGCCGCTTATTGGTGATAGTTGCCCTAATTGTCTACGCCCCGTGATTAAAATACGTGACTATCCTAATTCTTGGTTTTACTTTCCAGTTAGGTGCCATGTACACACTCATCTGTCTTTTCAACACCTCTAGGCAACATTTCGCTTGGTGTAGCCTACAGTTATGGAGACACTAATTTCAGTACATTGCTCGAGAGTCAAACAATGCGGCCAGTAAAGGGCGCGGAAAAGATGTGCAGCTGGACCAGCTAGGGTGAGCAATATTGCAACATGCATCAAGAGTAAAGCCTGTGTAGAATCTATTCTTCAGTATGTGCTTCAGAAACCACCAGTCAGTTTCTTCACAAACTTTCGTAATATCATTGTTGTAAGTTAACCAACCAATGTTTTCAGACGAAATACTGATAACCTACAGAATTTTTGAATCAGGAGAAATCAGCAAGTTGGGAAATCTTGACGCGCAATCTCGAAAAGATAAGCCGGCCTGAACTTTGGAGTTAGGGAGACCATCAGTTTGACGTCCCAGTGTTACATTAGAATGCAAGTTGATGTACACATACTTCCTCGTTGAATGCACAATAGTACAGCACTAGAGAGGGGGAAATTTTCAATTTTAAATTTTACCGTAAAGTTTCAGGGAATTTTTCAGATAAAATGAACCGTACTCAAATGCCAACTGGAGATTAAATCAGCTGAAGTTTTTAGTTCAACCTGGGGACCGGTTTGAAATTAATCGGTGTCTTGCTTGGTGTTCAACAATAAAACTGCACTTCATTAGCAGTATGAAGTAATGATTGCCTTACAAAAGAACAAAACATATAAGCTTCTCGGCTTTTCAGCGTAGACTGGCCTAAATAACTGGGCGAAACCTCAAATGAAAGTTACGAAATCTCCTCATATTACGATCAGTCTGTAGGTGGTTATGAGGAAAAAGAATTTAGCGAGATGAGTCGTTAATCCACCGGCCAGTCGCTACGTGACCACGTGATTGAAGGATGAGCGATGATGTATCCTGTCTAAATGAAAGCTGCTCACAGTGTTGTTCAGCCGTTTGACGCCAAATATGAAACACTGGCCGAAATATGCGGGTTTCAAGCTCTCTTAGTTTCGTGAGATGCATATTCAATGGGGATGAAACGACCATACAGTGCCTCTCGGCTTTTCAGTATAGATAGGCCTCACTACCAGGATGAAGCCTCAATAACAAAATCCCATCACACTACAATCAGAGTACATTTCGTTTTCTAACCGCACATCTAAGCTAGGCCCTAATATATTGATTCAATAGTGATAAATTGTAGAAGAAGCAGAGTACCCTTTTCAACATTACGCGCAATTAAACGAAATCCTATTCTCAACCGCATGTGATCATCCGATGAGGCAACTTGTTATCAGAGGGCCGTAAATAAGATTTAGACTCAACACCAAGTAACTTAATGCTTGGCTTGTTCAGACGTAACAGTTAATTACCACCAGATTGACCCCTCCGCTTAGCCTGCCTGGGGGAAAAGCTGACCGTAGATGAGCTTTGTGGCGCCACACTGTGCCGTCAGCAGTGCTTTCACCCCAGGGGGTCTGCCATACTCATAGAAGAAAATGAGTTTCGACATTTACCTCAGTCGCGGCTGCTTAAAAGTACTATTTCATACCTCACTGCTCACTTACGAAATTGGTTAGTGGGAGCGAGCAGTCGCACACTGGCATGTTGGTATGTGAATTTCAAAAACGAAGACTTCTATTTTTCTGGCACTTAAACGAACCTTTGTTGGCTTATAAACATGTAGTTTCTGGCAATTACGACACTGTACCAAAACATTCTTCCATTCAGTCCTGTCACAACAAATATGGGTGACAAAGCCCGGAAGATTATGGCTTTTCCTTTTGCCATATGTGGAACAACCATTATGGGGAGCAATTGTCCGGCCATGTTGTTTTACCAGGAAATTTTAAATTTGAATGTCTCCAAATATGCCCAAAGAACGTTTTCTGATTACCTGCCACGAAAACTTAAGACCTTCAAGAAACTGAATGTACGCCGACCTTTATATTGATTGGTGGTGGGAAAAAATGCAACGTAAAAGCGGGGCTTTTTAACGTGGGTGATTATTGACAAGATCATTTCACTGCTGGGAACAGTTACCTAGGATAATCTAGTGGCAGAGTTATTAAGAACTCTGCGGTTCACATTTTGTGTTTCCTCCAACAATCAAGATAAACAAAAGTCATGCAGCCCCAATTTATTCCACCTCATATTCCTTAGTTCGGTGAACCTTCAGGAATAGAACGACTGCTGTATTTCCACAGATTGCCAGTTGTTTTCTGTAGACACACCCCCAGAAATATTTGAGGCCGATAACAACGATGAAAACCTTGTGAGTTATACTTCTATCCGAATGGATCTAGATAGGACTAAACTTTCCAGTGATGAGACACTGTTTATACCCATCAGTACACCAAAGGAAGAGGCATTCTTCCAAAATGTTCACATATTTTCATGGAATCAAACTTTGCGGCTAGGCTCACAATTATTTGTGTGCATCCCAGGGGTAGAACTCGCCGACACGCATAACTGATATCCATTCAACCAGCCGCTGCCAGTCTTTTATTCTGAACTTTAGAAAATAATTTCTCATCAAAACACGCTTCGACCATTGGTTGCCAGTATGTTCACACTTTTAGCAAAAGTTGCAAACCGCCCATTTCGAGGTTGATGAAAAACGCATATGAATGGAACATTAGCATGAATTTTGAGAAGTCCCATTTCAAGCTGCTGACAGACACCAGGTGTGATGTTTGCGTGCACATGAATCTCCAACGGGTGTTATTTGCATTCAGCAGTCTGCTAATCCCACATATACATGGGACAATACCCTACTTCCTTTTGTTAGTTTATATTCACTGACATGATAGCTTCATTGAATTATTTGTTCAACTCAATGGAGTATCCCTTCAACATTTTTCCAAAATATATTAGCCGTGGGCCAGGAACTGGGTTCGACATTTTTCTCCTCAAACTCGACAAGTGATAACTAATATCCGTGTACTACTTTGATTTTGTGAATCACTTAACAAAGTTTCCTTGACTTCTAGATTGGACATTCTGTTTCTAAGATGATTGATATTCATCATGTTGTAAAAAGCGAAATGTCCCTGATTTCCAGATTTTTGTGCAGCGACCTTTTACTTCTCACATGAATGAAGTTTGGAAGCTAGAATAGTTTTCTCAGGCATTTGGTCCCAAAACCATATTGTTCCGACTACTGGTAAAGTGCTCGAGACATTTTACCCTCATTTCAGAAATTAGTTCCGGCACAAGAGTATCGAAAGCTTCAATGTTTTCCTGTACAAACTGTGACCAGTTTTTAGTTCATTTCTTTCTGCTCCACCCTAACACTATTTTTGTTGGTTTACTATAGGTCCTCTTATCATACAGAAAGCTGAGATCATCGTTGTGCACGTGAATATGACTCATTTTGATACAAAGATCGGACTGACTGTTTGCCTCTTCAGTTTCTCCACCTAAGTATTGGGCAGCAGTTAGACAAAATCAGAAAAAACGCAAAAATCCTTATTTCAAGCCTCTGCTGGATCCAGAAGGTTTTAAATTTGACCTTACAAAAAGCACTATCTCTGATGTTGGTCGGAGTAATTTGGCAAAGTGTTGGTCGAGAAAGCACCCGGAACGAGTCCCCAGATTATGGTGACAAAACATTAAAATATCCAGTGACTATATTGAGAAACTATGTAATGCGAAGCTGACGAAACCTGTCACATATTTAAAAACATTCTTCTGGAGTTGAATCGCGTCAGTCACATAAGCTTCCTAACCGGTCTTGATGTCCATTTGAAGTTGCTTGCATAATTTAGGCTCGCGTAGGGGGCAGAAGCGTAATCCTGAAAATATACCGAGAGAGTGCACGTGTTTATAGTCCATTGCTCACATTCGCATCATATAATTATCACGAATTAACAACAATTTGTTTTGCTACTTTTGATTTTTCCTTGTCAATATATTCTGCAGCTGGTAAGAATTCAAGTGTTCGATTATGTCAGTTCCTCCTTTGATCTTCCCAGTTTGCCATTTGGTTCTCAAGACTACCTGGTCTTCTGTCTGCTACGGCTCCATTGAGGGCACTTAGCCCAGAGCCACCTTAGTTGAACTCTTGGGCTACCGCTGGGGCAGACAGAGTACAAGGACAAAACCAGGCGATTCCACCAGGGATATATCTGCTTGTCACCATTAATTCCGGTGTAACACCGACATTATCGCCAGCCTCAATCACAGTAGCACCGTCCGGACATATTAAAATTACGGAACTTCTATAGCCGTTCAGTGAACCAGGTAATGAACCTGCGACTCTAAAGTAAGGTGTAGAATATGGTGATAGACCGTCGCAATGTGGAAACTGAAATAATTGGTGGGAATTTTCCATTTCAGACCCGCTGATTCCACTTTGTAAACTGGAAAAATTACTTGACATCCTGCCAGTTTACAAGTTTGTAATAAGCTATGACATTAAGGTCGTGTACAAACGCGCTTGAGACGTGACGGTATTTCGTCGGTTACAAAGGAATGTGTCACTTACATGCTGTTCAGCCATTCATTAAACTGTGTTATGAGCGCTCATTTTTAGTACCAAAGCACTTTGTAAAATTCCTGAGGTAGGAGATTTTGCCATTCATTGATACACATATGGAGAGCATTCGTTACATTGAGCGTTATGCTGGTTGTGAGGAAAAAGCGCAGAGCTGTTTGTCAAATTAAATGTGCCTTAAAAGTGAGTGTTGTGCATTTGGACAAGACCACCATCATTGTACTAAACAGATCAGAAGAATGAAGAATCCAGTCGTGGATTACTGCTTAAGAAAACATCGAAATATGTATTTGATTTTACCATACTTAAGCAGTAGCGAAGGGGTATTCGAGCCCGGGCAGAGTTTCTTATGATTTGATGGCGTTTAACTTTGTTGAAGGTTGTATATTCAATATGATTTGTAAAACATGCACCACATGCATGACACGACCCATCGTCCTTGATTAGATTGTTGGATCCTCTGCCATGTCGAGAATGATGTGTTGCTTGTCCTGAGTGCGAGCCGCATGATTGGCTTAATGCGTCGTCCGTCTAAAGCACAGAATGGCGCAGGGATCAGACCACTCTCCTTACAGCAATTTATTATGAGACCATACAGCCTACAGTAGGTATATAAGTAACTTTCCTTGTGAAGTAAGCTCGTTAGCTGGAAACCCAACTTAAACCAGGTTAATCACTCGTTTATGATGTTCTTCTTAAAATGATGTACAAGGCCGTCTCATATTGCTTAACCAGACACGTGCCACTATTACTATAATCAAATGGAGACAGACATACTGGGACCAAATCACATCACGCACAAATCTATATGTGGCCGCGGAGCAAGTTAAATTAGCGGAATCCACAGTTCTCTCACTACTAGGATGAGACAGCGTGTGCCCCTCTGAGTCAAGAGTTATGCGTTTCACAATGCCGGGTCTATTTGCGAGCGGAAGACATCACTGTCCTCTTTGGCTAGACAAGCCTTCAAGTTAATTTCATCTTCCTCGCCAGCAAAATTCACGTGGTCCCAAGTTTTCTACGACCGCTACTATAAATCAGTCAAAGACTGCTCCATGTGTTCAAAGCAACTTTAGGTGACCCTTTAGACGTATAGGACTTGGGGAAGCAACAGGTCATATAGTTTGTTTGGTTGGCTGACCTGGACTTATCCTAATAGCTTGCTAAATCAAGTTTTGAAAGTTGCTGCTGCTGATTACCAGCTTCGGTACTGGCAAGCCAACACGACATGAATACACACAACGGTCTCTCTGTCCTCCTCATTTGATTTTACATAAGTCCACAAATTGTGCAGTAATGATAAAATGTTTTTTCATCCAAAGGTGTACTGACCGACCACCTTATCGTATCCATTTGTGGCCGGAACAACAGAATTTTTGAAGGGACTATTAGACCAGAGTTTATGATGGAGGCATACGCACATTTATAAGTGATGTTATATTTGTAGCCTTTCAAGTTCATTTTATTCTACTCATTCACTTATTTTTATTTTGAAAAATATTTTGGTCACAACCAAAAAATCAATTGATTCAAACCTAATGTCAAGGTTAGCTATTTCCATGAAGGGACACAAGATCTCGTTCCCACTTGATCGTTCATTCATACTACGGAAGTCCATACAGAAAATCTTGCTGTCAAGCGATTGACAGCATGACAGTATCTTGAAGCTGTCAGCCGGAGACAGATCATTAGAGTAGTTCGATAAATGTAGACTGTACTGGAAAGAATTCCCCCGTTTGGAAATCAAAAGAGGTGGATAGAGCAATGTCTGTACAGAAAAAAAATGAACAGTTTTGTAAAGCCACACAAGACCTAATGAAAATAAGCGAAACTGCTATAACGATGAGAGATTGGTTGAAAAGTCCTAGTTGCAATTTTTTGCAACTATCCAAATTGATCAGAAATTTAGCGCGATTTCCTTTAGTTATTGGAGTACGCCAATGTAATCCGACTGGCAATGATACGGAACGAGTGCTCTGCTTTGTTATTGATTTGCGCACGTTTGAATTTTTATGATGAAAAAAACCATCCGCAGTCGGCCAACAACTGAGCACTTATTTTTTTTTATTTTACACAGTAACTTAATTAACTAATTCTAGGATTTAATATGAACCAGATCGCATTCTGTGCCATGATTGTTCTTCGCAAAGAGGTCCAAGATCACAGGACATCTACATAGAACAAGGTGACCTAAAAAACTACACTATGAAAGTCATCATTAGGTGAATTCAATGTTGTTTAATCTGTTGTGTGAATACGCCCGGGAGATGTGGAACTGTTCAAGTGGATCTGCGAGTAGCTTCGTATCAAAGAGTCAAAAGGTGCCCCCTAACTCAACTGTGGGTAGTTTTCTACGTTGGCATACCAGCAGCCGCGATAACGTCGGTCCGCCCTGAGTCTGTCATATCGCAGGAAATTCTGAGAATTTGCCTCCCGTGAACTGATGTTAAAAGTACACCTGTCAGCTTATATGCCTTGCTAACCGTTCCCCTAAGGCCAAAGGAGCTACGCAATTTGGAGAAAATATTGTCGCGCATATGCATTGTCATGTAAGTAATGTAAAGCATCCGCACTCGACCACGTGGTCGGGCCCGTGTATCAAGTGAATATCGGGGCTCATTTGTTCAGTAATCGGGCCTTCACCAGTGGTAAGATTTTCATAATTTTAACTAGGGAAAAAATAACTCAAGAAATATTAGCTTGTAAAATACTTCTAGCTATCTAAGTTGCTCGATCTTCTTTTTGTCAATTTGTCTCCTAATAATCAAGCACATCATGAAACTTCATATGATTAAGGAATATAGAACCAAAGCTCACAGATATCTACTACTACTATCTACTGTTAAATCTGGTCTAGGACTTGGGAAAACAAATCAGAGTTCAATGAAGCTTTTAAACGGGCTTTCAATGGAGAACTTTAGTTTGCAACCTTTAACATCCACTAGAACTGGTTATGTGGAATAAGCTTTTGGTGAACCTTCCCACCGCTAGTGCGTCGTTACAACTTGATTTTAGTCTCACTGTCACTGAACCCCTGCAACTGATGAAGTCATCATTTAGTGGCCCAAGTTTTCACAAAAGCTACGGCTGCATATTTCCTGCACCAGAATGCCTTCAAAAGTAATTCTGAATGTTTCTGAAGGCAGCTATATTGAATTATGTGGAAGTTCTAGACGATGCAAAGCGATAGAATGGGATTGTACGTATTGTACGCATAGTACGGATAACAGGAGACCCAAGGGTGCCGTCAGAATTGATGTTGGGTATACCTTGCCACTGAAATGTACGTTGGTAAGGTCAAGAAACTGGGACCAGAAATTCATATTGCATGTGAACTACATGGCAAACCAAAAAAAATAGAATGAAGAGTCGATACAGCTGTGCTGAACAGACCACTGATATCTGTGTTAATTGGCTTGTCTTGTCAGTTTGGGGGGAAGGGACTGAAAACCAATAACTAGAAATAAATCAACCATATTCACTTCCCAAGTCTGTTATGACTTA